TTTGTCAGTTTGCTCATTGGGAAAGGCTGAAGAATAGCTTTTTTTTTTTTTTTGAATTTCCTTTTTCATGCCCTTTAATTTGTATTTATATTTATTTTGGGGTACCCCCCCAAAAACTCAAAAGACGACAAAAAATATTGGAAGCACAGTTATAATATGGGAGCGGAGCTCTACATGTCGTGATACGCCTGCCTCACGTGGCCCTTTTGGACCCCATGAGTCTGACGTGGCAGTTTAGTGGCACTGGACCCCATTCATGGGTTCATACAAAACTCAATGCTGGTAATCCCGGTAGCTTTAGACTTCTTCAAATTCATGGCAAGTTTCAAGAGGTTGGTTTTTGTTTTTAGTGGGTTTGCCACGGAGCTACCTACTAAACCCACCTGCCAAAATCTGCTTAATCCACGTCAAACAATGTCTAAGTGGTGAAAGATTGTTTGAGGTCCAGAACGTACCATAAACAAACAAAGGGTTTTTTTAACTGCAAAGCAGTGTGTTACTCATTAGAGTTTTTTTTTTAAAAAAAAAAGAAAAAGAAAAAGGGAAAAGCAAACTTTTGTTTAACACCTTTTTACGTTTGTCTACACAGTGAATTGCTGGTAAAAGCTCAATGCTGGAATCAACCCTAACTAGAAAGTAAAGGTTAACCAAAGATGGAAAGATAAAAGATCCACCGCTCGCACGACTATCACCAAAGTATGGGCACAAACGGCTACTGCTACCCTTTGAATGCTCCTGCCGTTTAAAGTTCTTGTTGTTAAGTCATGTCAGTGGCAAAAAAGTAATCCAATGCCATTAGCAATCTTTGTCAGGTAAGAGAAACAAAGATTTGAGGCTCCATCCATCTCCACACCTCAATATATATATATATATATTAATCAGAGAGATTCATCAGAACACAAAGCTACTCGAACATCAAAACAATTTGCTTGAGTCAATTCTCAATAGGGTTCCATTGTCTGACAATTTCCACTTCCCAAATCTTAGTTTACTGCTGAAGCTTTTAATACTAGTCTATTAATATATCACAAGTCAAGAAACTGATTCTTTTTCCGGCTAAGCAAACGAGGAAAAGAAGTGAAGAAAAAGAAAAGACACTCTTGTAAACACGATCAAGACACACGTACCATAGACTCCGAATGCTATCACATAATGCACATTTCTCCAAAATGAGTACTTACAGACATGGAAATGCATTTAAATGCAGGTTTTGCCATCATTACTTATCTCATACCCCCCCCCCCCCCCCTTCAAGACCTGCAAAGACTCTCAAGTGGCTAAATAATGAAAGAACAAATCATGTGTCAACATTGTCACTCAAAAGTCAAACAGTAAAATCATAAAAAATGACAAAACAAGTTATCCCTACAATTTTTTTTTTTTGTAAAACACCGCAAACCCAAAGTAGACATACTGACATGAGACTTCCTAGCATATTAAAAGCTTCGGAAGAAAGCATATGTAGATCATTGCTTGATTTAATTAAAAAAAAGAATCTTTAACTAACTATTAAATCAACTGAATAGATCATATTGTATCTCAGAAATCTAATAACAAAAAACAAATGATGCCAACATAACTAAGCTAACAGAATCCGTGCTTGTATTCTGTCTTCTTGTGCAA